AAGACTCAGTCCCCCTACTATATGATATTTTTCTCCTCAGCACAGATTATGTACAATATATAATTAACTTTTCACCTTTCACCAGACAATAATATTATCACCTAATGAGATACAATAAAAATATCCGATATTTGAGTTTTTTTATATCTAATAAGCTAAACTTAATCTTAGACGGCAGTGCCGCGCTGCAGCTATATTATAGCTGTAGCACGAATGGGTCGGCTCGACCGGGGAAGGACCACGCTCTCACAGAATACAAGCGTAAAATAGCAGCTTAATGCTGCTGTGTTTCGTATGTTGAGTGTAGAAAACGCGAGACCCTTTTACTGAAAACGAGCATAGAATACGTATTTATATAGAAAACGAGGCATTCCATCTTACTACTCAGGGTTGACAACGCATCGGTATTTTGATTCTTAATCTAGGATAAATTTATATGCCTATGGGCCGCAGCATACATTTACCATCAGAAGGACTGTGTGCACGTTCCTTACTCTTATTCTTTAAAAATAATGTAGCGTTTAATTTAGTTTTTAGCTCTTTGTCAAACATATGTTATAACCGTTTGAGTATGAAATAATATTGATTTATTACGAGACTCAGTAAATACTGGAAGACGCCATGAACGTTGACAAGTTTATGACACTCGTTGAAGCGTAGTTAATACACGTTAGACCTAAATAATTTAACATTTCTCTAGTTCTTGGAACTTTTCATTTAATATTTAATTTGGAAATTGTTGTAGATAAAGCATACCGCGTCTTTGTATACGTAATTTTTCACTTTACGTTGCCGTCTATATTTTATATTAACCTCAAAGTCGTCTACTCTTGCCTGGGATTTTTTTAGAATAAGACTGAAAAACGAGCACAGACAGTATCTGATGGTAAGTGTTGCGACCCAAAGACATCTACATCTATCCTCGACTTAAAATCAATATGTGAATGTGTGTCAAAGCAATATTTTCTGTGTATGTGCGATACGTTGTCATCCCTGAGAACTAAGATGGGTCTTGGTTCTCTACACTCACTGTACGAAACACAACAGCATTAAGTTGCTATTTGGTGCTGGTATTCTATATGAGTCCCCGGTCGAGCTTGCTTGTACAGTGTAGCTTTTCCAAATAAAATTTTATTTTCTTTCTTTACCGAAACCTTTTTTTTTAATAAAAATACCGAAACCCCATAGTGATATGGGGTTTCGGTATTTTTATTTTAAATAAATAAAATGACCAGTATAAAAATGTGAACATCATCAAGGACTGCATAGTTATATTGTGTGCCAGTTACGTTTTATAAAGTGCCATCCGTGGGAAAGCGACATGGCGTCTAAACCCAATTTTTAACGTCCTCTGGCAGCCGCCCAAAATAATTTATTTAGTTATGTCTTTCAAAATATCGTAAGGTGCAGCGGGCGTGCAGACTCGTCAAGGTTGTACATTATTTAGGTCTTCTGTAAATAAATTTTGCGATAGTCGGTGAAACTGAAACGTCCTTCGAATACTTGATTAAATATTTGAATTACACGACATCATAGTTTATACGTAATAGAGCCACGTTGCAGCTATATAATGGTTGTACCATGAATGGGTCGGCTCGACCGGGGAAGGACCACGCTCTCACAGATACCAACGTAAAATAGCAGCTTAATGCCGTCTGAATTGAGGCATTTCAACTTAGTCTTCAGCGGTGAGAACGCATCGGCATTTTGATTCTCAATCGAGTTTAAATGTAGATGTCTATGGGCCACAGCGTCCACTAACCATCAGGTGAACGGTGTGCTCGTCTGTCACCTTATTCTATAAAAAAAGTCATTACAGGCCTCTCATAAAAATGAGACGCACAGAGCACGGTTCTGACCTACCTCCATCCATTGACTCACTGCATCTCTTACCAAATCGTCACTCCATCCAGTGGTAGTTCACCCTACACTTTGCTTACCGGACCAAGGCTGTCACCCGAGAACCTTTTTTTCCTTTGCTAGTCTGTTCTTAGAACTATATAGCCATGCAATTACCACCGTACTTATTGATACGTATCTTCACTACTGGCCGTATGAGGAAGCTCAAAGTCGCTCTGCGAGATATGGAGAGGGTTATGCTTGAAATTTTTCTACGTGATAGATTTTGTAGTAAGAATATCCGCAGCAGAACTAGATTAATTGACGTTCGTTAAGAAAATTACATAAAATACGTTTGTTGTGGGGAGTTAGATGAGCAAGTGGTTGAGTTTGTGTATTTGAGATGTGATTTTAACAGAGGTGGTAGATATGATAAGGAACGGGTGAACGCAAGAAAATAGTCAGAATGTGTCAAAAAGGCACTTATGGCATTTTACAATGCTGTGTACATTCTAGTGAAAGGTGGGTGTGGCAAAAGAAGCACGAAAGTAGTATAAATGCGGTCTTTAAAGAGTATGCTAGGCCTAAATCGGAATGAAAAGGTGAAAAATTGTGTGTTAAGAGAAAATGTGGTGTGCAAGATGATGTTGTGACCAGGCTAAGAAAGTAATGCTTACGTAGCTTGGTCATGAAGAAAGAATGAACGAGGAAAGAGTGACAAAGCAAATTTATATTGCAGAAGTGAATGGTAGAGCCGGGAAGGGACGCCCTAAATGAAGCTTTATCGAACAAATTGGCGATATATTGGAAATGGGCCAGATTAAGAGTACCCTCAACCGACGAGCGTGTAGGTATATGGATATGGATATGGATGAGGCGAAAGGTGTGTCAAGATCGTGCCAAATGGAAGTCCGTAGTCTCTGCCTACCTCTCTTGGCGACAGGCGGAAATGTTTATGTACAATTGTTGTCATAACTATGACGCAATATCCATACTACCATGCCCAAAAATCAAACAGCAAAAAAATATTACAAACAGCCCAAAAATAACAACCTGTTCCGATAACCTACTAATATTTCATAAGCGATACACTTAAAAGCCGATTCGAACCTAATAAAATCCGGCCATCTGTTCTTCATCACAATCAGCAATGCTCCGGACGTACGTAACCCTTTTGTAGGGAATTCTTGAAATAGATTCAGTTTAGTTTTGGCACAGTTTTGGAAGGAATTTGTGTTTTTGGATTGTGGAAATCGAACTAAAATATCGTCTTTCTCAATCACATCTCTAATCGTGAATGGCGACTATGGGAAAGTTATAATTTTTTTTAATAATTTATGTACACACAAAATAGTATCACTATTTAAAAATAAAAAATATTTTGTATAAATTCAGGTATCACTCTTATAGTAATATTATTTATAATATTAATGTACATTAATAATTGCATTGTTAAAAAAAAGTTAACAGAAATGTGTGTATCGATATATCGACTTAAATATTATAGTTGAAAAGAAAAACGATATCTAATAGTAACAAGATGTTATTAGATATTATACGATATCTTGTTAGATACCATATAAAGGTATGGAACCTTTATGTTATTTCCTCTTAGTTATTGTTATGTTGAAATCTTGAAATTTTATCAATAGTGTTATTGTTAGGTGAATGAGGACTAATAATCTTGTTTATAATTATACTAACGATTAAAAAAGTTAAAAAATTAAGGTGAACTTATTTTTTATGCAGATGATCCCGCAATTTCATCAATCACCATTGAACAGTATGGGGTATACACAGTATTAAATATACATACATATCTAGAAATAGGTTATTTATTTATTAAACAGGTAATTCGTAGTTTAGGATTTTCGTCTCTAATCTAATTAATATGAAATATAAGACATATTTCAGAAAGAAACATTAATATCTACAATTTTCTAACAAATTTATTTTCCCCATTATGAAATCTTTGAAATATTTCATCTCATTTCTAAATGACGCTGCCCTGATGGCAGAAAAGTCGTAGTAAAGTTTATATTGGACGTTACTTAGGTTATTTAATATAGATCTAGTCAGTTATTTGTTACGTCACGTTTACATTAGAATGTTTCTGAGAAATAGAATCTACAACGATGCGTTTCAGGTCTCTACGACTTGAAGAAAATTTTGCTAAGTGATACTAAATCTTTGTTCTGAAAAGTTAGTGTTGTTAGCCTTTTGGCTATTACATCTTCTTCTGACTCAGCGCCTTGCAAGTTTGAAGCTTTTGGGAATGGGACGGGAGCTACTAGAGAGCTAGTTTAAATCCTGTTTTAAGTTAATTTTATTATAGACTGCTTATCTGTACGTACATATAAATAAAATTTAAGTGGATGTCTGCAATATCAAAATACTCGTAAATGGTTTCTATTAAGCTCAGATATTTGCATACTATTTCTTTTTTAAAGTAGAGGGTTCAAACGAGCATGCGGCTCACCTGATAGTAAGTGACTACCGCCGCCTTTGAACAACCACAACACCAGAGGAATTGCATGTGCGTTGCCGACCTTCTAGTAAGTAGTAAGCTCTTTTCTTGAAGGTCCCTAATTCGTATCGGTCCGTAAAAATTGTCGGTGCTAAACAATTCCACAGAGAAGTTGTGCGAGGAAGAAAACTCCCAGTAAAACTCACAGTGGTGGACCGCCAAGTATCCAGATGGTGAGGATGGTATCGTGAATTTTGACGCGATGTGCGTTCGTGAAATATGGCGGCTGGAACTAATCCAGACAATTCTTCAGAACACTCCCCGTGGTAGATGCGATTAAGATATTAATAATCATTTCTAAGAATGTTGGCTGTCTGTCGGTCCGGGCTTATAATCTTCGGAACAGCTTAATCGACTGTGATTAAATTTTGCGGACAGATACAGTGCAATGCCAAGAGGAATCTAGGCTATATTTTATCCGAAAATCTTGATTTTTTTTAAAAAACGAAAAAATTATAAAACAAATGGTTTTTGAATATAGTCCAAAAAAGGCAACATTAATTACAGGGTGTATTCATGTTGCCTGTATCCAGGCGAATTAGAGGCGAGTCGCTAGTAATTTGTAATGTAGAAAGTTTTTTGAACTTTTACTGTTTGTTGTCAAAATGTTAACTTTAGTTTCTCATTGTTACAGCGATGCCGAGGCAGTGACACACCGGGTTGACGAGAATCAATCCGCGAGATGTCGCAACCGCCGCCAGGGCGCGGGCGCGCCCGCGCTCCTTCCCCTTCTTCTCTCCACTACCGTCCTCCATCGCCATGGGCACCCAGTCCACCCCCACTAATTTCCGGACCTCGCCATTCAACCGCACTGGTCTCCCCGCCACCGGTACAACCATCACCAAAGCCGTTTAGACCCCTCCACTCGCCACACTCCTTCCGGCCCCACTCACCATCTCCTAGCTCCCATTTCTCAATCTCTCCTTACCCAATGTCTCCCACGTTGGGACAAAGTCCGGAATATTATTATTCTTCGCCGTACGAACCGATTCGGGATTACGAATACGCGGGTGGGTTGCACGAGCCGCCGCCGCCGCCACGTCCAATGATATATGAAGAGGAAGAGGAGCGTGGACCTTCGACAGCCGAGATCATTGCCAATCAGTCGCAGGAGGGCTACGTGGATGAAAAACTTGCCGAGTATCAGGCGACGATTCAGCTACTTCAAGGTAAGTTTCGTTTTATCATTTACAAATATTTTTAAACACACATTTTTTAACTAAAAGTTTGATAACCGCATAAAAAATTAAAATTTCTTACAAGCTTACTTAGAAGAGCACCTCCCGTCATTTTATTTTTATATTTATTTAATCTTAGAACGAAACATGTAAACAAGTTTCACCTTAGTTATATATACCAATGGATTGTTAAAAATAACAAGATGTAGACAACTAAAACACAGAAAAGCCTAAAAAGAAAAATTGTCAGTAAAAGGAAATAAAAATTCTAGCTAGTGTCTTCTATAATTACGGGTTTCTATTTAAAATATTTTATTTATTTATGTTTGTCTAGTCGACACCTGGTTTGCTACATGGAACTTGCATAGAGTGCAACGAAAAGGGGAGATCTCCCGCCGTGCAAGGTGTTCTGCCCGGGGGGCGGCCAACACTCCGAGTAGTAGTTTGGAGCTATTTTATAAATACTGTTTTACTTCTGAACTTTGATAGCACGATTTAGGCTTCGATATGTTTCATTAATTTTTTTTATTCGCTTGTGGCGCGACTACAGCGCTACCACAATACCATGGCACGACCGCAGTCTACCTCTTCTTTTCTCATTTCACCATAATAATTATGTATCTACTATCGATTTTTCATTGTTAGTAAATACATAATTATTGTGGTGTGGCATTGTTAAAAGGATAAAGATGAGGAGAGGTTCTTTAAGTATGTATTGTGGCGTCACAAGCAAAAACACGTCCAAGCCTAAATCGCACTATCAAAGTTCCGAAGTAAAAACAGTATATATAGAATAGCTCCGTACTACTACTTGGAGCATATAGTGTAGCATAGTAGAGCATATATCTCTAGTTTATAGTCAGTAATCTATGACTTGGAGGGTTGTCCTTTCAGGGCCTCAAGCATTTGGGTGATTTGTCTATAAGTAAAAAAATCCTAAAACTTTATTAGTAGGACTTTATAACAGGCTTTTATTTGCTTCGCGTGTATCTATCTATGCAGCGCAATCTTTAAGTATAATTTTCACTAAGTAGTAGACGGTCGATTCACTAGAAAATATGCACTCGTATAAAAGACCGATGACAACATGTACAGTAATTTAATAACGTTATCCTAATATCCTGATCGGGATCACCAGGATAGAATCAAATAATTAACAGGATCACGACATCTCATGGCTAAAACGTGTTGTTTAAGTTGTTTTAACTCTTTTAATATTACGTCCGTATCTACCAGCATCATCAGTTAAAGCGTTTCATCATCAATCGAATACAAATAGCCAGCAAAAATTGAAATGATTTCACGAGTTTTTAAAATAATCAATCGAACGCGTAATGAAAATAAATAATCACTTCATATATAAAATCGTGCCAAACATAACACTGAATCAGACTGTTTTGAATCGATTTTGAGTGCCCATTAGCATTTATTGATTTTAGAAACACTGAAGGTGCTGCTAATGTTGGGTAATTTATTGTAAAGTACCTGGGAAACCGAGGTAGAGCATTTTTCTCAGGGATGGATGACATCTATGTAATCTTGGAAGGTAACACGTCATATATTTCACACAAATCCTTAGAGCCATTTCCGAGAAATCAGTTACATACACATATCCATTATTGGATAACCAAACGCACGACTGGATTTTCTCTCCACCCATTTGTTATCGACATTCCACCCAATCGGACCAAACAGTTATTTTCGTTTTTTTATATAGAATAAGGCTGACAAACGAGCACACAGTCCACCTGATGGTAAGTGGATGCGGCCCATAGACATCAACATTTATCCTCTATTAAGAATCAAAACGCAGATGCGTTGTCACGCCTGAGGATTAAAAAAAAGGAAAAATCGTGCAGTGTATTTAATTTTACATTTTTGTAACCGTTGTAGGAGCAGCCTCGCGTCATTCTTAATTAAAATTATAATAATAAATTTTATTATAGTTAATAGTCATTTTTGAAACTAAACAATTTTTATGCAATTATAATATTCGGATTCTTAATATAGCCATACCATCATGTGGTAGGGTCGGCAAACACAGGTAAAACAGCCATATTACCAATTACCAGTAATGCCGAATAATAGTACTGTATAAACGAAATTTAATTTTAATAATGATCGTACTGAGTTCCCCGTTTACCGTCCACGTTATTATACTCATATATTCAAGACGTCTATCGTCCGGTCTGTTTTTATTTTCACCGGACAGATTCAGGGCAAGGCTAGACGATTTCGCTCCCCCAAAGCTCAATCAAATCGCGCAAAAATTTTATTCGCAGACACCATGGCAAATTTTCATATATTTATAATGCAAATTAAAATGACCTGTATATGTTAATATGTAACAATCATAGTCTAAGTGTAATACTAAACTTAATATATATACACATATATATGATGTTTTAACAAAAGACAGATTATTCTAGTTTCAACTTACCAAACATTCTATTGATGTGCCTTAGATTCTGTTATGGCGTAATGCACTGGATCTATACTAATAAATAAAAATTAGGTGCCTGTTTTTAATTAAGTGCCTTTTTTTAATGTCAAAATAACAATGCACACGAAAGTATACACGGTAAATAAAACAAGAAAAAAACAATTTTTAAAAAATTTGTCTTTCTATTCCGGTCTGAGAGCTCAGATGGTTAACGCTCGCTGTAAATATAACAGAACGCGGGTGACCCGGGTTTGATCCCCGCCGGCACAAATGTAATTGTTAATTGCAATTTTAAGTGCTGATACCACGTGCTCGGTGGTGAAGGAAAACATCGTGAGGAAACCTGCATGTCTGAGGAATAAGAAAAAAATATTTCGAAGACATGTGAAGTTCGCCAACACGCATTGGGGCAGCGCGGCGGACACTTCCTTGCCCTAAAACCCTCTCAGAAATTAGGAGAGGCCTATGCCCAGCTGTGGGACGTATATAGGCTGTAACTTTACTTTTTTATTTTTTTATTTCGGTTAGTCTGCAAAATGCCTGCACCAATGTTGACGAGTCTTTCACTGGTAACTTAGGCTACTTTTATTTTGGAAAATAATTAGGGATTCACGCAAAAAATTAAAACCCCTGAAATCCAATCTTAATAAATTACACGCAGACGAAGTCGCGGGGCACAGCTAATCAAAAATAAATTTTTAATTATTTCGAGTTTGCCCTTATTATGAATGACTTTTTAATTTCTCAGTGGGAAGTTATTGTAATGGGTCCTATTTTGCAAATTCAAAATTTTAACATATCTCCTCGTTTCAAGGTCTTTAGAGTCAAATAGTATGGTTTTTAAGATGATGTCCTGTGTGCACATGTATGTATGTATGAATGGATGTATGTATGTATGTTCGGATTTAATTTTCGCCTCGTGTATCTCGAGAACAAAGAGTGATATTGACATGGGACCAGTTTTATTTAACGCATAATTATGTAACTTAGACCTCATTCAATTTTGAGCAAAATCGGTCCAGTCGTGTTTGTGCCAAATGAAATATTGTATAAAATATTAAAACATATGATTTTTTTATTCTTTCCTCTGGGAAGATAGTCGTGTGGACCTTTCGGTCGCATCTAGACCGCTTTTTTTAAAGAATCACGAACGACTAAGTAGCCAATTTTTCCTAAAGTGTTAAACGACGAACTCAATGACTAAGATTCTCCTCTATAGTGGAAGAATTAGACAATCTACGATGAGGATACTTTCATATTGTCCACGTCTTAAATAGGAGTTCAGTAAGTCGCTCAAGAAGAATTCTTCTGTGATACCCACGCTAGTGGCCGTGGTAGCTCAGATGGTTAACGCTCGCTGTAAATATAACAGAACGCGAGTAACCCGGGTTCGATCCCCACCGGCACCAATGAAATTGTTAATTGCAATTTTAAGTGCTGATTTTACCACGTGCTCGGCGGTGAAGGAAAACATCGTGAGGAAACCTGCATGTCTGAGGAATAAGAAAAAAAAAATATTTCGAAGACATGTGAAGTTCGTCAACACGCATTGGGGCAGCGCGGCGGACACTTCCTTGTCCTAAAACCCTCTCAGAAATGAGGGGAGGCCTGTGCCCAGCCGTGGGACATATATAGGCTGTAACTTTACTGTAACTTTTACCCACGCTAAACAGTATAGACCCTAGCCGTGTAAATGCCAACGGCGTTAACGGTAATGAGTCATCATCGCAGACAGGCGGCATTATCATCGTATTCTTTTTTCTAGGGCCCAGAGCTTGTTAGACTCTGGGCCCTAGCAAAGATATTTTTGGTCGACATTACCTTCCCGTATAATGAGAACCTGTTGAAAGCCGAAACATCCGTTTCGCCTTTTACGAGGATAATATAATATAAAGCGTCATGGTTTTAAGCAAATAAAATATCTTATATTTCACGAAATCCCAGTCGCCTCACATGACGGGAGTCGTTTTAGTCGGCACCACATGTCGTTCACCTCTTAAGCCAGGACAGTATTTCTTACACATGAAGGCTTCCTCACGATGTTTTCCTTCATCGCCGAACACGTGGTAAATCAGCACATAAAATTGCAATTAAAGATTTCATTTGTGCCCGCACTGTGTGCACGAGCCTTTAAGTTGCTATAATTCTCGGCTACCAGCTATCTCAACTACCACAAGTCACAGTTGCCACGGTTCTGCAATGAGAATTTTTAATTAAAAAAAAGGAAATATCTCCTATAAATAAGACATCCCGTGCCTAGCAATAAGACCTATAAAAGCTGTAATTTTACTTATAATACCGTAAGTATAATGTATAGATGAGAGTAACTGCTCTTCGCTGAAAATAATCCTGCCGCCGCCTATGATATACACGACGTTATCGAAGTGAGGGTTGGATGTAGCATCAGAAATACAAAAACAACCTGATAAAATACAGAACCGAAGTACAAATGTTGGCTATTTGTGTTGCATAATCATTGGCTTTTGGCTTAAGACAAGAGTTTTACTCTTACATCTATTACGGACGAACTATTTAACTTAGTCTAAAGCTACATTATTTTCATTCGCTTCACGCATTTATAATGATGCCTACATCTGCCTTAATTTTCACCAGACCGAATTACGATCAAGATATTGGTCTAGCCATCTGCGCATTACAGGAGGCACGACTGCATGATCAGCACAGGTGCACTCTCTATTCTTTCAATCTCATAGTCCGATGGAATAGCAATCAAACACGACCGGAAAGAAATCAGGCGCAGAACCAACAGCTTTTGTGTTTCTTGGGCACATCAGAAGGGGAAAACACCTGCAACTTCCTGACTTGAATTTTTTGACGGAAAGACCCGGTAACTGAATTTGGCCCGTCATCATCCGTCCAAAATCAAATCCAGGATCACATCAGTAATCGCGTTCACAACAGCAAGGTGGTCTGCATATGCAGTAGTCAAACGGATACAACGTAACACACAGTTCAGCAAAGTTGGTGCTGAGCCAAGAGAACTAATTTCCCGGGCGTCTCACTGCATCGGACACATGTCAATCAGCCGCTAAAGACGCGACGAGATCAAGCAGGATTTGCTTTAGTTGCCAATCATGCTTAAATCAATTTTTAAAAAACTCAAAGATTTTCAAAAGAAAGATGTCAGGCGTTAGGATTCCCTAAATATTTTCCCATTTTATTGGTTACAAGTTGCTTCGTTGCTACTGAAATATGATTTTACGTGAACTAGCGTAGCGCGTTAATTTAAATGGAGAAGAATGGAGGAAAAACGAGTACATAGTCCATCTGATGGTAAGTGCCATAGTGATATATTTTCTCGATTAAGAGTCAAAATGCAGATGCGGTGTCACCTGTCACCTCTTCTCTTTGTGTGTCCCTTGTCACTGTCAGTTCCCCTCTTTTACCGGTAATGAGGTCTTCCACATTCAACACGGATAAAAAGGATATGCGGTTCTCTACACTCACCATACGACAAACAGCAGCATTATGTTGCTATTTCACGCTGATATGTGTAAGCGTTTGCCGTCCTGGGTCAAGCTGATCCGTTCGTACTGCAACTATAATATAGCCGCAGCGTGGATTTAGTTCGTTAACTACTATGTGTGTCCCCTTACTGAATATTGTTAAATAGAATTTGTATGAGTGTGTCTAACAAAAACCGATTTCGATTAAATACTGCCAATTGCCTTGGAGTAGCGTTCGAAACTATCTCTAATTATTTTTCTTTTCTCCCCCTCTCTCTCTCTCTCTCTGTCTCTCTAAAATATATACACTGTAGGTCCAAGTGAGCGTAGTCTATTTTTCACGCTACAGCATTATGGCTGCATGCTATATCAGCGTGACATAGCAACATAATGCTGGCACATAGACCCTTTTTACTATTAACGTACAACCCATGTAAGTCATCACGGATGACAACGCAACTGCTTTTTGATTCTTCATCGAGGATAGATGTAGATCCACCGACAGTTGACAATTTTTACGATGAACACTGCCACACTGAATCGAAAATCTCAAGTATTAAAAAAAGTAATGATAAAAGAAAAAATATTTTGTGAACGTATATTTTAATAAGGCCAGTTGCCGCGTAAATAAATACTGCGTAGTCATGACCTATTTAATGCTATCGAGTTTTAAATTCCATCCAACATAGTAGATTTATCGATTCAAATGATTATAGTTCTAATTGATATTCTATATTTTTATTTTTTGCCTGTTCGGTGTTAGCAGTAAGCACAATTTTATTAAAAAAATTAAAATAATAAAACCAAATTCCGTGTGACACGTCTTAATCGTCGTTTTAATTTGAAAACTAAAAGAACTTAGACCTAGTTTTAAATAAAATCCAGACGTGAATTTAACGTCAAACAACTATATTAAAAATTCGTGACCAATCGTGTATATCGTAAGTAGCTACTTATAAGAAATGCCCAGAACATCTAGTGAGAGTATACCCACCCGAGATAGAATATAGTCGGACAGAAGACAGTAAAAAAGTCAAAAGTGCCGGACGTCTGGTAATGTAACCGTCAATCCGATCGCCAATCGTGGCGATTAAGGCAAATCCTCTTCACTATGTGAGAAGCACTGCCCAGCTGTGGACTGATACGGGCTGGTAAAGAGAATTTATACAAATTACAAATTATTATTCGTTTGATTGGGTTAAATCATCAAACATTGTAACATTCCAATCAGTCAATACTGGAGTTATTATCACTACACCCACGTGTCTAAGCTGATCGCACTGTTTATATAAATTACAAAGTACCCGGTTGACCGAGCTTTGCTCGGTATTTTTCGCTCGGTTTTTTTAATTCGTGTGTTTTGGAAATTATATTTAGATACAAATTACATACTGATGAAATACGAATAATAATTTTTGATCTTAGCGACATAATAGAAAAAATTGAACTGGTTATTTGAATAAAAAATCATGAGTGCAATTAGTTTAATTAAAATTTTCGTGTTTTTAAAAAATACTAAAAAAGGGCTCGAAAAAAATAGATTTTCTCAAAAAAGAAAGGAACTTAAAAAAATAAATTAAAAAAGTCGGTCGGTCGGTCTGGGCTCGAACCATGGTATTACGATTTTGTGACCGCCCTATATACCAATTAAGTTATTTGTAATCATTAATAAACTGTCAAAATTTACTTTCTTATTCTAACGATATTGTAGCAGTTTTTCATTGCCTAAAAACACGGACAAAAAGACATTTTCTAAAAATAAATCCTAGCTAGAACGATTTATTGCCCCCCGAAACTCCCTGCACACAAAATTTTATGAAAATCGTTGGAGCCGTTTCCGAGATTCCGATTATATATATATATATATATATATATATATATATATATATATATATATATATATATATATATATATACACAAGAATTGCTCGTTTAAAGGTATAGGATTATTGTTCTTTTGGGTTAAATCATCAAACATTGTAACATTCAGTCAATACTGGAGTTATTATCACTACACTCACGTGTCTAAACTGATCGCACTGTTTATATAAATTACAAATTATTGTTCTTTTGATTGGGTTAAATCATCAAACATTGTAACATTCCAATCACTCAATACTGGAGTTATTGTCACTACACCCACGTATCTAAGCTGATCGCACTGTTTATATAAATTACAAATTATTGTTCTTTTAATTGGGTTAAATCATTAAACATTGGAACATTCCTATCAGACAATACTTGAGTTGTTGTCACTACACCTTACGAATTACAAATTATTATTCTCTTGATTGGTTTAAATGATCAAACGTTAGAACAATCCAATCTGACAATATTGGAGTTAATGTCACTACACCTATGGGTCGTCACACTAAATCCAAATCTAAATCTAACGTGGCAACACTGACTATACTGACTATACTTGTATATATAGAGGTCAGTGCAGCGCGAGCATTATACAGCTAATGGCCAATTACAGCACGAGACTTAACACCGCCTTAAAATTGAGCAGCGTTTGAGTATTTAGGCTAAAGTAGTATCGAAAAGTGATTAATTCTAAAAGTTAGTTATTTTTATATAATTAATTCATCGTTCTTGTGATGTGAATCGATATTACCGTTAAGATGGTGTCGATACGAGGGCGGCACTGAAAATTTCGGGAATCAAGGAAGTGACACAACATTACTATTTAAAAATGTATTGCTTTTCGAAGTATTCTCCGCGAAATTTGACACGTTTTTCCATACGATGGAACCAATCATTGAAGCAATCATTCCATTCGGAAGTTGGGGTCTCCAAAATGGCCGTTTTGTAGGCGTCTACAGCTTCTTCAGGTGATGAAAATCTCTGTCCACGCAATTTATTCTTTATTTTAGGAAAAGTATAGAAATTAGGGCCTAGGTCGGAGCTGTACGGCGGATGGTCTAATAATTCTATGTTTTCTTGCTCTAAAAACTCTTTTGTTCCGTGTGCGGTGTGAGAACTCGTATTGTCGTGATGGAGGATGATGCGGCGATTGCAGTTCTCTTTACGGAGTTCAGAAACGACCTGTGGCAAACAAATGCTAGCATACTATTCTGCATTAACCGTTCTTTGTCCCGCAAGAGGAATAGTCGTAACATGGCCGGTTTTGGAGACAAACGTGGCCACCATTTTTTAATTGCAACACTCCGTGAATGAACAATTTTGGTTGGCTTTAACTCATTTTCGAACACCCAAACTCATGACTTGTTTTTTGTTTCGGGTTTGTACGCGTATATCCAGGATTCGTCACTTGATACGATGTTGTATACAGCATTTGAGGATCCTGCGTGGAATCTTTCGAGAGTTCTGACGCACCAAGTAACGCGAGCCGCTTTTTGCTCTTCACAGAGCGAATGCGGTATCCATAGGGAAAACAACTTTTTTACACCTAATTGTTCATGCAAGATTATTTGTATTTGACTCATGCCAATGTCTAAAGTTGCCTGAATTTCGCGATATGTCACATGTCGATCTTCCTCAATCAGCTTACCCACACCATCAACGTTTTCTTGGGTGACTGCAGTTTTTGGACGACCTTGACGGGGATCATCACTGAGCTTGACATGTTCACGTTGAAGTTCAGCAAATCAGAGATAAATTGTGGTTTTGGATGGGGCTTCACAGAAATCATCCGGTCAACACACTGTTTTTGTGTAAAACCACTTCGAAAGTCATAATAAATCATCGCTCTTGAATTTTCTCGAGTCAATTCCATTTTCTTAACGACTAAAAAAGTTTGACAAAACCTTGTGACAAGACCGAGAATCTTTTTTTTAAATAAATAAATGTTATTCGATTTCTAAAACCAAGGAGTTTTCAATTAAAAAGATTTTAATATGACAGGAACAGTGGAAATATTCCATTCCCGATACTTTTAGTGCAGCCCTTGTACTATGC